CACCCCAAGCTGCGGGTGGGTGCGGGCGGCCAGCGCCCCTCCTCACTCATTTCTGCCGTGAGCGTGTCCCACCAGCGAGGACAGGTGGTCCCCTCCATTCCTATCGTGGGGGGAAAGCCCCTTATTATCTCATCAGCAGTGTTTGACGTCTGCGGCAGTGAACTCGAGGAGGCTTGTCCCTTCAGTCCCCGAAGAGATGCGGTCACCTCGTGGGCCTCATGAAAACGCCCCCTCTCGGCTGCCACACGTCCCCATGTTCTGTCCGCGGCCCTCCAGGGACACCCGGATGGGTGCAGCCTGGCAGTGAAATGACGGCGGCCCTAGAGGTGGCCGAGCTCCTTGGGACGTGCAGGAGGCCAGGCTGGGGGGCTGCCAGCTGTGCTGCTGCTGGTGAGCAGCTCTCTCCCCGATGCCCCCCCGAGAGCCACCCCCGGGGCAGCTCCGGCTCGGCTGTGAGACTCGGGGGGTGGAGCCCCTGGCCTAGCGGGCTCGAAGTCAGCCACGGTCGGGGAGGTCTGAGCCGTTTTCCGAGAACCTGGGATGAAACAGAAATCAGATGGGAACCAATGCCCGAGCAAGCCCTGTCCGCGTCCTGGCTGCTGGCCGCGTCCTCCTGCCGAACCAGCCGGACTGATTGCCCAGCTCCGGGGCCCTCTTGGTGGAAAGAGCCCCCCAGGCCTCGTGGTGGTGGTGTGCCCCCCGCCCCCCGAGTGCTCGCTGCTTGTTTAGCCTCGGCCTGGGTTTCCAGCCTCACTTTCCCGCAACCCGGCCTCCAGCTGCACCCGTGTGGGGGGTGGGGAGGCCCCTTTGGAAGTGTGCTGGTCGGCCCCGTCCGAGTGGGCAGAGCCGGGGCCTGGGCGGCAGGAACGAAGGCGTGAGAGATGTGGGGGTTCTTGGGTCCCCACTTCCAGGGCCCGCGAGGCTCAGTGGGGGGAAAGGGCTGTAAGAGGTGGTGCTACAGCGTCCCCCAGGGCTGGCGCTCCTGCTCCTTAGCTTGTCTCTGGGGCCACAGTGGCTGCCCTGTGTCTTCGAGGCCCTGCCTGCACCCCAGCCCTGCACCCCAGGGGCCCCATCGGGGTCCTTCCTGGGGAGACACTGGCGTCAGCAGCTGCACTGGGCCTCCTGGCACAAGGAGCCCGGGCCGCTGCGGAGTCCGAACTGGAGCTCTGTGGCCGCCACCCCTGTGTGACTCGGGGGGCCACTCACCCTTTGACCCTGCCCCCTTCAGGACCAGGACCAGGACTCCCCAGGAGTTCAGGGGGCACCGGTGAGCAGGCACCCGGGGACCTTCCACAGCCGGGCAGCCGTTGTGCGGATGAGGTGGCAGCGGACAGCACCAGCCCCTCCCGTCAGAGCCGCCCAGACGTGGCGCCCGGCAGAAGGGGAGGAGCCTGGCCCCGGGTGGGCGGTGGCCACGGAAGCGCTCCTTGGGCTGCCTGCCTGCGCTCCTCCGTCAATCCCGAAAGCCCCGGCCAGATCTGTGCTAATGCTCCATTCGTTACCCTAATTAGTTTGAGGATTTTCAGGGCAAACAGGATGGGATTTCTCGGTTCAGTCTTGGGGTGTTTGTTTTTTGAGATAAAGCACACGGAAGAAGTTGCATTGATCTTTTAATTCCTCGTGCAAAGAAAAACTGTTTGCTCTGCTCTCACTTAGTGTGTCTGGTCCTCAGTGGGGCGGGCCGGTGGCCGCTGGGTCCAGCCTCGGGGGTGGCAGTGCCGTGAGGTCCGCCCGGCTGGCTGTGGCCGCTTCCCAGGGCGCGTGCAGCCCTGTCTCTCCAGCCCGTGGGGCGGCCTTCCCAGGACCCCGCCCGACTGCGGGGGGCCAGGAGGCTGCTGCCCCTCCCAGCAGGGACCCTCCCCGAAAAGTGCCTTCGGCCCCCAGGGAGCTCAGGGCTGAGACTCTGGGGCCCGGTGTCTCACGGTCATCGCTGGTGCGGTGACAGGTCACCAGTGCTCCAGTGTCACTGTCACCTAACATGGTCCATCATTCAGCTCCCCAGCCCCACGGGACGATGGTCGGACAGCCGTGCTGGAGCGGGGCCTGGCGTCAGCCGTGTCCCTGGAGAAGTCGTGGGCACTGTGTACCTGCGGCCCCCGTCACCTCTACACCTCTGTCCTTGGAGAGGGGTGGCCTGCCGTCTCGGAGGTGGTTCCCCTCGCCGGGGCCGCAGACGCCATGCCGAGCACAGAGGGAGCCGTGTGCGCCCGCAGAGACCCCCTGGGAAGCCGCCTGCTGGGGTCCCGACGGCGTTCCTTCCCGGGCCTCCCTGTCGGGAGGGCTGCGCGTGGGGTCGGGGCAGCGGACGTCTCCCAGGAGTGGCCCCTGGGGGCGCTCCTGCCCGGCTTCCCTGCCCGCAGCTGCTGTGCGTTCTCTGTGCCGAGATGTGACTCATCAGCCGGGGGAGACTCACGCCCTTGGGCCGTGTGTCCGCACACTTGTGTCCTGCAGGGGCGTGGGGTGCAGACGGCAGGGCCGCATCAGCCTGTCCTCCCCGCCCCACCCCTGAAGTGAGGGGGGCGGGTCCCAGTCCCATGAGCCGCCTGCTGTTGGTGAGCCCCCCACGGGGCTGTGCTCCAGACGTCCACTGTCCTTGAAACAGCCGGGCCGGAGGGTGGGCTTGTCTTCTGATCAGGGCCAGGCAGAGATGGGTCTCTGGCCCTGGGGGTTCCCGCTGAATCCCTGCTCCCGGGGCAGATGCCCTGGAAGCCCCTCCCAGAGGCCCTGTCGGAAGTGGGGGCCGAGATTTCCGCAAGGAAAATCAGAGCTGAGGGGGTCCCCCCAGGAGGGGTTTCCTTTGCCTTCCTGTGGCCTTGCGGGAGCCACTTTGCAAGTGGGTCTTCTTTTGTTTTCCTAGGAAGGAGGGAGGAGGTGCAGGGGAGACTGATAAAGTGACCTATCCCACTGCTTCCTGGTGGAACCCAGCAGGCCACCATTCTGGGGCTGGGGCGGGGGTGGGGCTGAACCACTGCCCCAGGGCCGGGTGACCAGGCCTGGGGTGGGCTCACACTCCTGTGCCTCAGTTTATCAGCCCAGCTGCCAGTGGGGCGGCAGCAGCACAGGCTTCCCGTGAGGCAGGCTCCCTGCCAAGTACGCAGCCCAAATGTCACCTTCCGTGACCGTTCGATGCTCCCAGGTGGTCACACGTGGCGCACAGAAAAGTGGCGGCCAAGAGCAGTTTGCAGGGCGGCCCATCGACTGCCCGGCACCGTGGGGGGCTCCCCAGGGACGCAGGACCCAAAACAGCCCGTGACCGCACAGTGGCCCAGTGCCTGGCTGGGCGGCTCCTCTGCCGGATGTCCCCAGGACGGGCCACCGGAGGAGAGAAGTCTGGGTTGAAGGGCGTGTCCGCCTGCTCCCCCCTCCTCCAGCCCCGCAGCCTGCCCGGTGCCAGGCTGTCTGCTCTCCGTCCGCCCCTCGGAGCCAGGAACTGAATTAGGTCCTGAAATTGAGTGTGTGGCCGAGCCGGGCAGCTGCCGTGATGGGAGGGGACCGCTTCTCACCTTGCGAGTAGCGGGGTCACGGTAATATGAAGCCAAGTGGATTAAAAATAAAACCAAAGGTGTTCATTTACGACCTGCCCGGAATTGGATTGGCGTCTGTGTGCGTCGCTTCCGATGCTGAAAGACAGCAGGCTGTTGTGATCTGTCCCTGGGGACGCCGCGCCAGGGAAACTTGCTCCGCGAATTCAATTTCAAGGCCCCGGGAAGTATCTGAAATGCAGAAGGAAATGGGTGGAGGAAGAGAAGTGGCTGCAGCCAGGCAGCACTGGAGGGGGCTCCAGGAGCAGGGAGGGGGCTCTGAGCTGACGCAGGGCCGTGTGACGGGGAGGGGGGGGCCCGGGGGCGTCAGGGGCTGAGCCCTGCGCTCACACAGTGGCCATCCCACTGCGCACCCCCCCTCGGCACCGCACCCCGTGCCAGCCCTGCAGGGACGGAGCTCCATGGATGAGAGGCTGGGTTGCTGCCGAAGGTCCGAGTGTCGGGGCCGCCTCTGGTCCAGGTGGGAAGCATGTCTGACCCTCGGCCGCATGTCGTCTGCTGGGAGCCCGGCTTCCCTCCCACAATCCCCAGGCCAGCGTCCTCCAATCAGGACAAGGGTTCAACGGACGGACCCCCAGGGCCCTGGAGCCTGTGGGCCCCTCCCTTGAAATCCCCTGCCCATCCCTGGGCCTTGTCCACCGGGAAGCCACCCAGCCTGCTGAGCCCCCTTCTGCTGAGCCCTGCTGGGTGCCGGGCCTGTGCTCCCTGAAACCTACCCCATCCATGGTGGGGCTGCCCTGAGCTTGGTGTCAGGAGGGCTGGCGTTCAGGCACAGGGTCCTGGGCTGCGGTGTCGTTCTGGCCCTGTGCCTGCCTCTCGGGGGGTTCTTTGGGTGCTGGCTCCTCTCAGCCCCTTGCCCAGGCTTCTCTGTGAGCTCGGGGCAGCCGAGTCCTCTAGGGGCAGCTCCGGTTGGCAGGAGTGGAGACCTGGGTGCCTCAGGGAGGCGGCGGGGCAGCGGGGCTTCCCTGGAACACCGCGAGCTGAGTGGCCATTTCGAGAGCTGCGGGTGTCTGCCTGCCCGTGGGTCCCTGCCCCACTGGTCCCCACTGCAGGGTCACCGGATACACACAAGTCTGGGCCCATGGACCCTGGGGTCAGTGGGGCAGCACCTCACTTCCAACTCCAGATGGCCTTCGGGGCGTGGACAGGGAGTGGGAGGCCCCTGAGCTGTGGCCACACTGGGCAGCTGGGCCCCACTGGACCAGCGCCTGGGCCCTGGGGTGCTGGGGACCCTCCGTGAAGCGAGGTTGCAGCCTTGCACTCCCCCACAGATGTGTCTCCTAAGTCCGGGCGTCCTGCCGCTGCCCGGCTTGGGGCCAGAGTGTCCGGGGTGGGGGGGTGGCTTCGTGGGCTGCTCCAGCTGGGGCTGGGGACGCAGGGAGCCCCTGCACTCCGTGCCTGCGGCCCCACCCAGCCTGCCACTGCGCGCCCCCTGACCTGGCCCGTCTCTCTCCCCAGGAGCTGCTGCTCTTCCTGCAGAACCTGCCCACGGCCCACTGGGGCGACGGGGACGTCAGCCTGCTGCTGGCCGAGGCCTACCGCCTCAAGTTCGCCTTCGCCGATGCCCCGAATCACTACAAGAAATGAGCGCGGCCCCGGCAGTGGCCCCACGCGCCCAGGACGGCACCCGCCCGCTGGCCGGCTGCGAGGAGGGGCCTGGATGGGCAGTGCTGCCCAGCGGGGCGTCCGCCCGGAGGACGTCCGGCGCAGCCGGGGGCCCGGCTGGGGTGGGCTGGCTGCTTCCTGAGATACCAAAGAGAGCCAGGGGAGGGTCCTGGCCTTTCGGGGGCCCTTCCTGTCCTGAGCATCCTTGCCAAATGACCGCCTCCTGGAGACCCCGGCCGGCTGCAGCCCCTCTCGGAGAGGCCCGTGTTGGGGGGCCGGGGTGGAGGAGATGGCAGTCGTTTGGACCTGTGTGGAGACGCAGAGCTTCTGTTGAGTGAAGGAGAATAAAATACAGTGAGTGTCATGTTGCATGAGCCTGACCCGCCCCACAGCAGGGCCCTGGCCGCCGTGGGACCTCGCTGGGGGTGACAGCCGCCCCCGAGCCGGACGTGGGAGGGCCCTGGGGCGGCAACCACGATCCAGCTGCGCTCCTTCCTCAGTGGCAGGCGGTGTGGCCGGAGCTGCCGAGACTCGTGCGGCCACTCTCTTTGCCGGATCCTCGTCTCTGCCGTTGCCGTCACCAGGCAGTGGGCCCGGGCAAGGAGCCTGCCAGGGGCTCTGAGACACACACACCGCTGACCCCAAGCCCAGGAAGGGCTCCCGCCCTCAGCACCCTGGGCTCCTCCTGGGCCCCCCCTTCCTCCTGCTGCTGCTGCTGCCCGCGCTGAGGGCTGCCTGGCTGTGCAGAAAGCCCCCGATTCACGGGCCCGCCTCTCACGGCCCAGCCCCCGAGGCCACACGTTTGGGACAGAGTCTGCCCCCGAGGTGGTTTGTGGTGCAGTCGCGGGGCTGTGAGGGTCCCTGGCATCGGAGCGGGGGGAGCTGGAAGGGAGAGAAGGGGTTCTGTCTGGGGCACCATGTGGGTGATGTGGGCAACGACGCCGGGAGCCCCTGCCTCAGCCTCACTCACGGGCTCTCCCAGCAGGACAGTGCCCTGGCCCGGATGGCCTCGGCCCTGGGCGCTGCCGTCACTGTTGGCACTGAGACCTGGCTTTCGCCCTCGTTCAGGTAATTGAGTTCTGCGTGCTCTGTGGAGTGGCAGGAGGGGGAGGGCAGGGTCCCTGGGGCCCGCCTGCCGCCCCCTCGCAGCCCCGGGAGGCTGCTCGCAGCCTCGGGCCGGTTCTGAACTCGAACTCGAGCTTCTGAGCAGAGGCCCTGGCCGTCGGCAGGGGGGTGCAGGCAGAACGGCCGCCCCGGGTCCGCTCGTCAGGGGGCGCTGTTCCAAACGGCAGACTTCCCCAGTCGGAGGCGGGGCACAGACGCCCGAAACAAGCAACCCCGTCCTGCACCCCCGGGTTCCAGCGTGGGGCTGCCCTGGGCCCCCGACGGGCCGGCGTGTGGGGGCCTCTGGGCCTCCCGGCGCAGGTCTTCCACGTGACTCCAGGTCTCTCTCCGTCTCTGGACGGCACGTGTTTTCCCCACCAGGAGAGCTGTGGGCCAGTCGGAGAGTCAGTGCGAGGAGAGGCGGGGGGACGCCCCGCGGGTCCCACAGGCAGCGGGGGCTTGCTGCGCCCTCTGGTCGAGGCAAAGCGCCCGCTCCGCTGTCTGCCGCAGCAGGACCGGCCGCCTCTGCTCTGCTCGTCTCTGTCCGTCCAGAGGGGCTGGGGGCCGGGGGTGCTCCTCCCTCATCTTGCCCTGCACCCCTGGTTGTACAGGGAGCAACAGCACGGGCCTTTCCTCGCTAACTCCTCGGCTCTGCTCACACCCCACTCTACAGGTGAGGAAACTGAGGCACAGGAGGCCAGGCAGCTTGCCTGAGCTCGAGCTCACGGAGCTGGCCCAGAGCCCCTGCTTGTCCTCGGTCTGTCCTCATAATGCCCAGTGGGCGTCACTGTTCCCAGCTGGAAGTTTGGTGGGGGCAGGGTGTCTGGTGACTTAGGGTCTCCCATCCAGCGGGCTGAAAGACCGACCGTCAGGCAGTGTGGGTGGGAGTGGCCGCTGGGTGCCGTCCGAGGTGCTCCCCAGGCGCCTGGTCCGGGTGCACCGGGGGAGCCTCCTGGCCGGTCCCCACGCGGCGGCGGGCACACTGGCTCCCGGAGGTCCCGGCCGACTCGCTGAATTGATGCCTCCGCGTCCCAGGGGCTGTAACGAGGTGTCAGCGGGAAGCGGGGACCATGCGCACGCGTGAGGTGACTTTTACAGGGTCATTACTTGTTCGCAGTAAGGTTTTGTTGTCAACTTAAAGTGTAACGACGTGATAATTCTTCTGCTCACCTAATGAAGACGTCGGTCCCAGGTTCCGGGGCAGCAGACGCCCCGGGAAGGCGGGCGCTGCCTCTGTCCCCCCTGCTGCCGCCTCCTCCCGTCCGACCAGAGGCCCAGGGGTGTCTCCCGGCCGGGTGCGGGCAGTGGCTGAGCCCACCCCAGCTTCCTGGGCCAGAGCTCCCTCGGGCCTTCCTGACTGAGCCTCGATCCTGCCCACCCTGCTGCATCCCACCGCAAGCTCAGGTCCAAGGGAGCTGCGGCGACCCCCCACAGCAGGTTGTGGCCAGCTCCCAGCTTGGGTGCTGAGAGCCCTTACAGGCAGGCCCAGCGCTGACACTGGTGTCCGGGGGCTTGTCCACCTGGGAGGACCAGGGCCATCTTCACAGAGACTGGTCCTTGAGGGGCGAGCAGGGGTCCATTGGGTGGAAGAGGGTGTTCCGGGCAGAGCAGGAGCCACCTTGAAGGGGGGCCCTGGGCTGGAGGAGCTGGAGAAAGGGCCGGCGGGGACCCCACGCTCCGGAGTGTGTCCGCAGGGGCAGTGCCCACGGCGCCATTTCAGCCCCTCATGGGCCGGACGCCCTGATGTGGTTTCAGAGCTCAAACATTCGCCAGCCGAGCAGCTGCTCTGCCTGTTCTGTGTGACGTGATGTGTTTGTCACTGTTTGCACCCGCCCATACCGCCCTGCGCCCCTGTTATGGGGGCCAGACCCCGCTCCGCGCCAGCCTCCCGCCATGGCCCGCTGGCTGGCGAGCTTCTGAGTACCAGTGACCAGCTGGAGGCGGGTGCTTGTCCAGAGGCCTGGGGTCCCTGGGGCGGCCACTCTGGGAGCAGTGACACGCCCCGTCGTTCAGGTCATCGGGGTGAGGGTCACGGTCGCTCTGTTTCCTGTCTCCTCCCTGGGGCCAGCGGTGAGGGTCAGAGAACAGGGCAGTGGGGGCGAAAGCAGGCAGAGCAGGGCCAGAGGCGGGCCTTGGACTGTGGGGGACGTTCTCTGGGAATGGGGGGCACAGGGGGTATTGGGCTGTCTGGGGGCCCAGCCGGGGGGGGGGGTTCGACATTCACCCTGCCCCACCCCCCGCCCGGTGGCCACAGGGCGGCCCAGTCCTGCCGTCCTGAGGTCCCCACCACCGCCCTGTGAGAACGGCCACCAAAGGGAGTCCTGGACAGTGAGTACTACGAGACATGCCTTCGATCCTCAGACCGTGTCAGCGTCCCCGAATCCCCACTAAGTGTGAGACGTTTGGCAGTGTCGTCCCGGTCACTCAGAGTCATCGTCGTACCTGAAGGTCATTATCTCTCTCTCACGTCACGTCAGTCCCTTTCGGAGCATCGTACCCCGTCTGCTTGGGGGCTGCTTCCCCGCAGCCGCACCCAGCCTCCTCTCCTGGCTGACCGTTCGGATGGCGATGGTGATGGAAAGGATCTCTTTGCTGCCCCTGTTCTCACGCTGGTGCTGCCCTCTTGGCTTTTCCCAAGTGGCAGCTCACATCGGTGTTTCCCAGGGAGGACGGCTCGCGGGACCTGCCCGCATCCTCTCGTGTAGACACATGTGCTCGCTACCCGGCCGTCACCACGAATGGGCTGCGCCCCGTGACAAGCGGTCCTGGTCGCGGCGCCTGCTTCCTCGCACTCGGCAGCAGGCGGGCGGGCAGACGGCGCTTCCGGACAGAGCCGCCGTGTGGGGCCGTCTCTCCGTTCTTTATCTTCTTAAATACTGCAAGCTTACAGCTCTTTTTAGTCCTCTGAGTCAGAAACTCCAGGGTCCCTGGGTACCGGGGAGCGTGGCTTTGCCTGTCGTTTCACTGACTACGCAGTGATCCAAGGGCGTGGGTTTCTCCGTTTTAGAGGAAACCTTCTCATTCGTTTTGTGACACCCCCGTGCCCTTTGGGGCCCCGCTGGAATGACCCCGCCTCCCGCGGTCTCCGGTCCTCGGCGGTCAGCCTCACCCTGCTGCTTTCTGGTCCTTCCCTCCCTCTCCTGTGCCGAGGGAGGGGCTGGGAGGCTTGCCTCCTCGTTCACCGCGTTGGGTTTCAGCCCTGTGTCCCCGGCTCCTTTCCAGTTGCATTATTTTAGCGATCCTGTTTTTAAATTCAAAGGCCTCTTTCTTGTTCTTTAATCCCCATTTAAAAAGCTGCGGCCAGTGCTTATTGCACAGGCGCGATTCCTTTTGAGTCTTGCGGACGCTAATTGGAAGTGGGGAGTTCTCTCTGTTGGCCACCTCCAGCCCGCTCCGGCTCGGATTACTGGGGGGAGTGATGGCCAGGTTCAGCTGTGCCCCGAGGCACCGCGTTTTCTGGAGATAAGAGTATTTTTATCCCCGTCTGATGGAGTGACCTGGCGTAGCGCGTGCGGTGCTTCCCAACCTCGGGGTTGACAGTGTTTTCCCTGAATAGCTCAGCTCTGCGGGCTGAGCAGCCCCCGTGGCAAATACTCAACTCCGCTGTCCCCGCAGGAAAGCAGCCCGAGGCAGCCGGGAGCAGGGGGCTGTGGCCGGGGGCCAGCATTGCTTTGCAAGCCCCGATGGTGGGTGTGCCTGTTTGGGGGCCCCCTGGGTACACCCCGGCTTCCTGGGTAATTGCTTTTACCTGCTGCACGGGCAGACACGAGGCAGCTCCCACCACGCCTGGTCTTTGTCGAGTCTGTTCCACCCACACCTCCTCTTCCAGCTTCTGTCTGCCAGGTTCCTGGGGCCGGGAGTTTGGAGACGACTTCCTGGGGAATCCGCGCCTGTCTGTTTGGGGACCCCTGCAGGGCGGAGCCTCTGTCTCAGACTTCCCCTGGTCCCCATTTCAGTGTCTACATCGTGCATTTCACAGTTTCCTCAGAATCACGGCTCATTAACTCATTTTTTTGGTTTTCCAGCGCTGCCGTTTATTTTGACAGTTTGGAGAATCATCTGTACGGGATCCAGGGAGGGCAGAGCACTGTGGGTCAGACCTCCATCTTGCTCAGACAGATCCTGGATTCCTTTGTTTCTCCAGCGACACCCCCAGGGCTGCGGAGGCCTGTTCGGGGGGCCGGTGACCCGCTGTTTCCCCGGGGCGCAGAGCGGCGACTGAAGCTGCCCCACCCAGTGAGGCAGCCGCATCAGACCCGG